GAGGAACTTTGGCCAACTCCTCTTTACAATGTTGCTTCAGTTTATTGAGGTTGGTGGGCATTCATTAAAGCACAGCTCTGTTAAGGTCCCACATTCGTGTTGAGGCCTGAAATTTGACTGAGACATTGCAGCACCTCAATTATTTTCTTTTTCAGCTATTCTGCTTTAGTGCTTGGGATCACGATCCTGTTGTCTGACCTACTTTGGACCAAGCTTTAGCTTGTCAGACAGACACTCACATTTGACTTTAGAATACGTTGGCATACAGAGATCGACTCAACAACTGCAAGGTGCCCGGGTAACACGCCTACAGCAGACTGCCAAAACCCTTTTTTTTGTGGTGAGGTTCATCCAGACTTTCACAGCACCTGGTTGCTAAGATGCACTTAGTTTTTCACGGTACTGCATGGTGTCCTGTAAAAACTTTAATGTGAGGCGTCTGTATGCACTGGCATCATTTTTGTGTTGTTTCACCATTCGGAAAACATCAGAAAGCTGCACAACAGTCCAAGCACTGAAACTGAGAATAAGTACAACAGAAGATGCTGACAGCAGCAGGTGATTAAAAGAGACAAGAACATGCTGGATCGCTTATCCTCCTAGATTGTCTGCAATAAAGATGCTCACACTTAGAAATTAATGTTGTTCTTACTAAGGATTTAATTTAGTTGGTTTCTGATTTTCTGACAGTGTAAAGACGAAACCGACTAAAACAGAAACTACATATAAACTTACCCAGAGTTGCTGTTTTTATTCGTCCCCCGCTTCTTCCAGTCGCCTCAAGTATCCGCACATGATCATATCCAGCTTTGACAAGCCGGTGAGCCGCTGCTATACCCGATACTCCACATCCTATTATAACTATCTTTGGGTCCGCACTCGTCGCCATCCTTGGTTCGCATTAAACTGTAGGACTGTCGCTCTCACAGCTTTCTCTCAACTTCACCTCGGGGCGTGTATGAAATAAGATACAGTGTGACTCGAGCATACAGTGGGGTGTGACTTATATATCGGTGTACATTATATAGTAGTGGTAACGCGTTGGCAGTCCGTGGACGGCACGTCTGCAGAGAGCGTCTGTTGTCGATAGAGGCAGCGGCAGGCTACAGGTGAGTGGGCTACTCAGCCAGCCGTGGACAAGACTGAAGTTACAAAATACAAAGAGCTGAAGTGAAACAGAGTGTTAAAGGAAATGAAAAGCGCCCACTACAGCCGCGGTCTGTGCCTCTCTTGCTGTATTCATTATTATTTTTTAGCTCTTCTCTTGCTCCTGGTGGAAGTTATCTGTCCTTTCCTTCCCTGTTTCGGCCCACCTCTCAACCAATCACCGTTTGATCAACGCACAACGTCATCCACGTCTAGGAACGTGCAGTTGGAGGACTGCGCTGCAGCATGTTTGCGGTACTTGTCCGTAGGAAAACGCAATACACAAAATGAAAAAATTAACGGACCATAAACGCATCATCAGGAAGCGTCATTTCACTTTGTACTAACTTGTTTATAAGCAGTGACCACAGACACTTGACATGATTTCTCTGACATCAAACTGGGGAAAGGACCATAAAAGGCAAGAAAAATGAGAAATATAGTTTTGAAATGATATACAGACACATCTGCCCCAACAGCAATTTGGTGATTTTTAAAACTTTTAAAGCCCTTTTAAAGCCCTGTTTGTTAAATGTTAATGTTTTTCTGAGAGCATCTCCCAACCAAGCTGCAACTAATGCAAAATGAAACCAGTGCTGAAGTGCCAAAAGTCCCAGTTTCTCCAGTGGCCCCTTGATAGATTTAGCTACCAGTTCCTAGTTTGAAAAGTTGGAAGTGCCTTAAAACTCCATTCTTTTAACTGGCCAGCAGGCTGCTGTTGGAATGGACTCTAAGCAAAAATTTACAGGGGACCCCTCCAACCAGCGTTCATCACCATTATTTTATAAATAATCTCACACCCCTAACAGTACCAACAGTCTTATAAAATCCAGGTGTTTATTACTCCAGAAATGCCAGTGACCACATTTGTTTGTTCCTCTTCTTCTTCTTCTTCTTTTTTTTTTGCACTCCTAGAAAAATAATTCATAATGTTCCTGGCATGATTCTGTCCCCTTTGAGTCGGATGGAACCCCCTTAGAGAGGTTAGGTCTCGCTAACTGTCACTGCCAACTTTGCACATTGTAAGATAAGATAAGATAAGATAAACTTTTATTATTCCCACACGTGGGAATTTTTTTACTGCTGTAACTGATGTACTTTAAAATTTTCAGTCCTCCTTGCCCCCCACTTGACCTGTTATCTCAGTAAACTTTTTTTCAGATTATTTGTATTATACTAAATGGAATAACAGCTCATTTTGTAAATTATGGTTCTGATTAGAGCTCACTAAGCCTGTTTACATTGCCTATCAAGTTGTCAATCAAGTTGTGAGCCAGTGAGTGTGTAGTGTGCCCCAGTTTCCCAGTTAATTTAATCCATAGACAAGATGAAAGATGGTATCATTGGTTTGGGTCTTGCAGTTTTGTCATTTCTGCACCGGTGTAATTTTTCCACACAGATGGTTCTGTTTAGGTTGTCCCTACATAAATTGTTTTTGTGCATCAGTATTTCAATGGCCACTAGAGGGTGCTATTACAGCAAAGAAAAATGCTTTAACAAATGGCCTGTGTTTGTTATTTGCACACACATGAAAACAGCGAATTACAATAAGTTTTTCTAAATGGCATTTTAACTTCTATGCAGTACAGCACAATTAACATTGTATTTAATACTGATTTTCTCCCTTTAATTTTAAGATGATCTTAAAATATGATAAAACGTTTTGTTTTTGGGTTCAGAGATGAGATTGTAAGTAAATTTACAACAACAGGAACACCGATTGATAAAACAGTCATAATGTCAAGGTCCACACAGTAGCTCTTTGGTGAATGCAAATCATTACTATTGTTTTTATTTTTGGTTTACTGCTAATCAGTTGCCAGTCTCTCAAACCTATCAGCTAGGGTGCAAAGGCCAGGTTTTCACAGCTTCCTATGTAGCAGTTTTATTTGGATCACGGATATGTGGTTCAAGACCTCCTGTTTTGTGAATCAGTCATTGTTTATAGATGCAAACGATATATCTTTAAAAGCTTAATCATCTTCAGACAATAGCTGATGTTTTTGAAATTACTTTTCAGAAGTGTTATCCTTTTTTTTTCAAATGGAACATTTACATGCATGCAACAAGTTCAGTTGCAATGATCAATAGAACTTGCTTTTATTGACCACAATCAGAAACCAGAAATTTTCAGCTATGTAAATCCAATGTCTGCTTATAGTTTCTACTAACTTCCATGCATAGATATTTAGTTAGTTTAATATATAGCAATGTAACAGGATATCTTATCCATTTGCAGGAAAGGCAGACTCTGATGCTTATCAGGAATTTTGCACGAGCATATGTTTTTCATACTGAAAATTAAACCAGTATTCAAAGGCTCAAAAGAAATTACTGCAGCAAACATGACTATACTTGGAGTTTTTCCATTTCTGCAGGGTTTTAGAAGTTCATAAGATACAGCTTTCCTTAGCTGGACACAGTTAACCTTTAGCAATATTCCCTTAAGTAGTGGATAAATGTGACCAATCTTCCTCTTGCCCAATATTTCAAACTAAATTTGCTTTAGTAAGAAGATGAGCTCTGTAAATATATGTGAGATTAATGGTTGGGATTAGGGAGCATTATTGAATTACTGTTATAATCTCATAAAACAATAATAGTGAGTGATTGTAGGTCAGTGTTTAAAGTCAAGGTTGAGCCACAAAATATTACAAAAGTCTTGCCGTTTGTAAATCTGTGGGAAAAAGGAACAGCAATACTCTCTCAGGATACCTCTATTGTGTAATGCTGAAAGTTTCAGGGTTCACACACACACACACACACACACACACAAACGTACACAGACACACCTCATGGGAAGTAGCTGGCAAAGAGGGCTGCTTAGAAGAACAATGCTAATGTGTGTTCAGTCTGTGGAAACACA